GTAAGAGTGTTCACACTGCGAAACCGTCCTCCGACTCCTTCTTGAAGCTCGCATGCGTCACTTGCTCGCTTTAAGAACTGGTGGAGAACGGGTTTGGCAAACTCATCCCGCCTGACACGCCCAAGCGTCCGCAGCGAACTACACTATACAGTTTGAAGAAGATTTTCAGATATCCATACATCCTCCTCAACCTGATGACGTGCTAGCTGGAGCTCCTCCCGTCTATATCCTTATACCAGAAGGTTCACGTATTTCTGGAGCAAGTATCAATCTGTCAGAAAAGAAACTAGTTCAAGAGTGGACCGCTGAGTTGCATTTGGCTACAACGGAGAAAATTATCGCCATCAAGGGAAAACCCAGACATCGTGAGTTTTAAGGTTTCGCTTAAAATTTTTATTTTTCTAACAGTTGCTTTCAGAAAAAATGCATTCACAAGGAAGAGTGTTGATTGATCGCAATGTGCAGTACAAATATGCAAATCCAAATCTGGTATGGCTTTCTCGTTACCGTTTCTTCATTCAAGTCGATAGCATTTCTATCAATTATGTGATTCAGGTTGCAATAGCCACTTTGGATCCAGTTCATCAATATTTGTCGATTTTCCTGGTAGATGTAGTTTCTGGACAAATGGTTCATTCTGCTCGCTTGTCTAAGGCCACAGCACCCGTGCATTTGGTTCATTGCGAACACTGGATTGCGGTAATTAGCCCTCTTTTTTCTTTGTGACGATAGCAACCTTGTCTGGTTCAGTATTTTTTTATCAAGTTCCTTGAACTTTCATTCGTGCTGTTCATTGTATTGTTTTGCAGTATTCCTATTGGTCGGAGAAGGGAAGACGAACTGAAATAGGCATACTTGAACTCTACGAAGGGAGCGAGCAAACCAACAAGGTATGTCTTTTTATAAAGTTGTTATCGTTGCAGTCTGTCGGGGCGGTGCCGGGAGACATTTCACCCGCATCTGCTGCATTCTTCTGCCACTGTTTTTTTTTCTTTCCTTCACAAAACGATCGGCATTTAAAGAGAATGCAGCCGTGATTGGGCCCTTCCCACCACTACTGACTCCAGT